TTCTCTCTCTGCCACCATCCTAAACCTACAAGTCGTGCCTACAGCATGACCAGTACTTTCTAGTCATTGACCTCCTCAAACCACCAAAATCAAGCACTTCCAAATAATACCACATCAAACCAAGACTTCAACTAATCCCTACTTTACACATCATCTTAATTTACTTTTTTAACTCGTGGTTTTGCTCTCCAGACTACCTGCAAATGCCATCTTTCTCATCACCTAAATCACTTTTACAACTCCACACCTACTTTTAAAACTCCACAGTTCAGGCTGTGATGACAGCTAGAACAACTTACCAACATAAACCCTTATTCACTCCAGAACCTTTACCTTTAGCACCCAGATGCCAGTTACCCCTTGAACTCTTTGCACCACTTCAGAATGGAACATGACCCAAGCATCAGGTAACTTATCTTCCTTCAGGGTCGTCCTTAAAAGCTCAGCACTATCAATTCACCTACAGAAAGCAGTACACTGACCAAAACTAGTCATAAAACAAGCTGTTCTTTTTCATTTAAAGTGTTCTTTTCTATATTCTACCATTATCCCAACCCAGGCTGGCAAAGGGAAGAGGACAAGGTGCAAGCTACACCACAGACAATGGCTTGTTTCCAAGCACAAAAATTTTTTAAATCACAGTTGCATATCTACCTTTTGATGTACTTGAGACTAGGGAGGTCATGATGATCCTAACATGATGAGAATCAGTAATGACCAGAAGATCACCACAGCTCACACTTGCAGAACAAAGGACATTATTACAAAAGCATTTTTGGACAAAGTGTTTCTTTACAACACTACTGTGTTAAATCTGTTTGAGCTATTAGACCTGCTAAAAAATGTGTAAATCCAAAAACCCAGAATGCTTTCACCTCAGAAATGCATGTTAAAAGTTAACTTCAGAAAATAACTTCAAGCAACCTATGGCCAGAAATTTGTCATGAAATGGTTTTATGGCAAAACTAAAATTAGTTTCAGAGCAGAAACACAAATCAAACAAGTGTCTAACATTCATCACAGAATAAGCTGTATCCATCAACTGAAATATTTAATTCAAAAAGTGCTATGCAAAGCACAGCATAGCTCGTGAGTTATTGGGATAATGGAATAACAGAAATACTCTATGCCTAACACAGCGACATTCAGACTTTATGTTGTTTTCAGATCTTAACAGTTTGAGTCCTCCTAAGCTGATGCAATTTTCCAACCAGCATCAGCATTAGAAACTCTGCCTGTCAGAAATAGGAACAGCAGTGCTAACACTCAGATATCTGTGAGACTATCTCTATTTCACACATTGTAAAAATAGTTCTCAGCGTGTTAAGGAGATACGAAAATCACAAAAATGGAGACTCACTCAAATGTGGAAACAGCCAACTTGACATCCACCATTAAGTGATATCTATAATGAAAATGACAACAGAGAGACTAATCCTGGCTTTAACTGCAAAAGAAAACAACTCAAACCTCCTTACTGAACAAAAAATTTAGAGGCAGCATTATGAACACCATGCATTTTTTGTCCCATCTAAATCAACAAGACAAACTGCAGTTCTATTAAAGTTCTATTAAAATGTATAAAACCTTCGCTGGAAGACAAGTTATAAAATTAGTTTCCAGACTAGTATGAACTTTGTCCTACAACACGCTGAGTATTTTCCAACTTCTAAAAGAGAAATAGATCATAGAACTATAGAATCATTCCAGCTGGAAAACATCTCTGAGATCATCAAGTCCAAGCATCAACCCAACACTGCCAAGGCCACCACTAACCATGCCCCCAAGCACCACATCCACATGGCTTTTAAATCCCTCCAGGAATGGGAGGGCAGTCTGAGCCAGGGCTGTACAATCTTTTGGTGAAGAAACATTTCCTAATATCCAACTTAAACCACCCCGACACAACTAGAGATCATTTCCTCTGGTCCTGCCCCTTCCTCTGGGAGCAGAGCCTGACCCCCACCTGGCTGCACTCCTGCTGCTCCAGACCCTTCCCCAGCTCTGTTCCCTTCTCTGGACACCCTCCAGCCCCGCAAAGTCTTGTCATGAGAGGCCAAAAACTGACCCCAGGTTTTGAGGTGGTGCCTCAGCAGTGCCAGCACAGGGGGACAGTCACTGCCCTGGCCCTGCTGGACACACTGTTGTTGGTACAAGCCAGGTGCCAGTGGCCTTCTTGGCCACCTGGGCTCATGTTCAGCCACTGTTGACCAGCACCCTCAAGTCTTTCTCTGTTGCACAGTTTTCCAGCCACTCTGCCCCAGACCTGGAGTGTTCCACTGGGTTGGTGTGACTCAAATATGTGACACCTTACAAGTACAAACTTAAGTAGAGATTTCTAGAAAAATAATGTTGTTTAACTTAATAGTAGACACTTAGTTTCAGAAAAGGTAGAAAGACCACTGAATTATATCAAGTCAGCTGTAATACTGAGAGAGTCTGTAGACTCTGCAAAAAAATAATTCTGCTCAGGATGTCCTGGTTCCTGTGGAAGAGCACTAGGCAAACATCTTAGCAACCATCATCCTGAATACACACATACAACTGAACACACAATGCAATGCTTTTCCTCACCCCCAGTGAGGACTGTCACACTGCTGTGTCAGCACTGAAAAGCCTCCATGAACACTTCTGCTAACAGAAAAAAAGTGACTTGACAGACTAAATTAAAACTGCAATTTACATTGAGAAATTACATATTCAAGAAGCGTGCTGTTTGATGATTATTTTGAAGTTACTTTGGCATTTTCTTCAAAACATTGCTCTAGGAAAAAGTCCTTTGTTCAAAGAATTTCCTTGTTAACTTTAATAAGGATAGTCTGTTGTGGCAGGCAATGCACTTAATCAGGCACCTTTTACAGAAATACTAATGGAGTTAACTGTTAATGGGAACATTTAGGTATTATGTCCTTCTGAAAATACAGTGAAAGGTCTCAACCTGTGTGTAACCTGAGGCACCTTTCCTTGATTAAGTTGATCAAAGCTGGCCTGAATGCTAGGTTCTGATATATACAGTATAGATTAAGTGGTTGTTACTTTTGGCTCACAGAACTGTGTTCTAACTATTGTATCCATACACCAAAAACCAGCTACTGGCACAAGCTTTATTTAATCAAACTGCAAGAAGCACAGCACTGATGCTTCTACCACTCCTTCTCTCCAGTGTCAAATACACACAACAGAAGCTACTAAAATTATTAATCACTCTCCCTTCCCCTTTAAGAAAATCCTACATCTCCATACAATACACACTTTAACATGAGCATTTATGCCTGTTACTACTTTGAAAACTGGCAACTAACTGACAGATGCCAGACTCTTCCTGACCTGCTTCAAGGAACAAGCCTTATTCCCCAGCCAATCTAGACCTTATTCCCTGTCCAGAGTGACCACGGCTTGCCCCCTTGATAGCACCACCACCACCTGGCATTTAGATTAATTTCTAACTCCTCTCTAACCCCTGTAACCTTCAAGGTGCTTGGGAACCCCCAGGGCTGGACACACACAGCCCCTTCACCCCACAGCTCTGGCTGTGCCTGGGCACAGGTTGTCCTGAACACAGCTACTGGCTCAGCAGCACCACAGTGCTCAGAATTCTCAGCAGCTGGGAAGACAGAGATCTCTCTCTCCCTGGACCCTCTCTGCCAGTCCAAAAAATACATTAAGCCTTTAACTAATATATTTTTTTATAAATATTTTCTTGAGATCTATCAGAGTACAACAGATCTGTCTCACAGCTTAATGCAGCAGCTTGCACAGCCTAAGGCATGGACTGTGCAGGCCCTGGAGGTGTCACTCTGTGCAGAACCAAAGGTACAACGTGAAGGAACTTGAGAGCACAAGAACTGTCATCTTGGCATGTAAGGACCAGGGCAACAAAAAAGGACACAGGACCACATCACTGTGCCTGAGTTGCACACTGCTATGACCACTGCTTCCAGACTGACCAGGGTAAAGGACACCTGGGGAGAACACTCACCATGATGCACCTCAGAAGGGACTTCAGCAACAGTCTAAGCAACAGTGGGTAACTGGAGCTGTTTCCTAAAAGTCAGTGTGATCCAAATGGAGAGTGCAAACACCAGCACTCCCTTCACTCCAAAGCACATGCAAACAATCGCTGTAAAAAAATCTAACTGAAAGGACATCTCAAAGTACTTACTCTCAGGTAGATTTTATTTGATTAGCTAATATTAGGAGAGCAGATTTAAATCCTTCCCAAGCTGAGAAAAGATTTCAAGCTCTGATGATGAATATGCCTACTGAACCTGTGAGAAAGCTGAACTCTGGCACTTGTTCCAAACCAAAGAAAAGCTATCAACTGAAAAATGGTTGAGTATTTCAATTCAAACATTTTCTGACTGCACAGATAACATAACAATCCAGTGATCCAACAGAACGTGCATCGTGTGTACACAATTACACTTCTCTGGGTTCCCACCACCTTCAAGTGAAACAATGGTAACCTTGATTTTTTCTCCCCCCCCAAATCTTAATAGCTTTTACTATTAACCAGGAAGAATTAAATACCTTAGTATATCGAGATGAGGGAACAGGATTGCCATTTCCCAAGGTAACTAACACTTTACAGCTTGCTAACCAAAGATATGAGAGACATTTAAATGTGCTGAGGTGAAAAACGATAATCTAGACCAGTTTGCTTTGTCTTAACATGATTATCAGATAAAGGAACTTTATAGATTTCTCATGCAACTCAACTGTCAGTGTTCCTTTGCCAGAGGTTCAAGATACACCTTCACAGATACTTTTTCTCCCAGACTGGTCCATTTTCTGTCTGAGGAGCTACCTGTACTGTGCTACCATCACACATCTTCCCACTTTTAGCCTTTCAGCACCTCCTTGCCCCATGTCCCTTAATAATGTTAATGCTCTATTATCCATCTTCAACTTCACAACTTCACAGACAAAGGGCTGATCACCATGGAAGGAGTCAAGGCCAAGAACAAAACAGATAAAAAACCATATCAACATCTCCTTACCTTCTGTGCTTTATCCTTCTGAAATACAAAGACAGGTGGAGCAATGGCAGGTTTTTCTGTAAAAAGAGAAATCATTGGGGTTTTTTCCAACCACATTCATTAGTAACTAATATGAAAATGTTAAGTTCTGTGATGCCTTTACCAACAGTGAAACCTTAAACCAGTTAAATCTCAGTTACACATATTGTTTCCACCAGTTCCTGGTAACATATAAGGAAAAAGGAGTGTTTTAAGGAGAACAACACAATCAATATCTGAAAACTGTTTGTCTTTCCCCTCCAGATGTCTTTCCAACTAGTACTTGTACTGTACTTCAGTGCCTCAGGAGGAACAGACCCTTTGCTGCAGTAGTTCACCAGCTGAACACATGTTTTTCCTTCCCCATCATCCCACATGAATGAAAAGGGAGTTTGCTGTACACCTCCACATACCCCTTCCTTAAAGGTCACCTAACTGACACTTGATTACACTTGTATTTCATTATCATTGAAAGGTTTAGAGAGGACTTAAATCAACATTTGCAGGTCTAAAACCAGATATTCCATGCATATTATTACAGAGGGACCACTCTTTTCTGCATAATTTAAGGGCACATCTGCTTTCTACTTAAAGCTCTGAATCAAGTATTAGCAGGACACTATTTTCTAAATAAGCACATCGGCATTTAGTCTGCAAGAACAGAATTAATTTCTAGAATGAGTGTTATGTTTCCACTGTCCTTCATGATCTCACAACTACCTCAATGTCCCCAAGAACCAAAGGATACACACACAGGGGGAGTGTGGGATAAAGCAGAGGGGAGCTTTCCCAGCAGTTTAACAAACTGATGCACCTTGTGCATGAGTTGTATGTGCACACACACTGCAGTCAGCAACCCTCCTGCTTTTAGGGCTAAAGATGGGTACAATACTGCAGTGAAACAGTGGGATTTAGGGAGAGATGGACTTTGGCTGATTTCTTTGCAAAAGTTCTACTTTTGCAATTATCCAGTCTTAGAAACGAACGTAGACATTGAAGAAAATTAAAATTTTTAGAGCTTTCAGAACTTGAAAGGCTACCATAAAAAAAGAAATATAAAGCCATCAAGAAGTATTACCTTGCACCTAAAAATAGGACAGTATCGTAAAATCCTCCATAAATCAGCTGCAGCATCAGTAAAACACTTGGATCAGCATATAAGGAAAAGGGGATGAGATTGTCCATTTGGGAACTGATAGCTGCTAGATCAGTTTGGCTGAAAAAGTGAAATTTTAGCTGATATACACATAGAATTATGAAAAGTATTACAAGAACTGTGCATTTATTTGGGAGGGTGGAAGAGCATCTTTCTACTCTTCTGTGGATCTAAGTCAGAGGGATATCCAGCAAAAACACTCCGAGACTGATCTTGTAAGACTGGCATAACTTGTTCTACAAAAGGTAGAACTGATCAAGAAATTAGGCTCCCTACTACATAATTTTGCTCCTTTTTCCCCTTTATTTTTTAAGTTCTTCTCTCCATCAAGTACTGCTGAATCTTAAAAATGCTCATTAATAAAAGCAACGCAGCCCAAAAGCGAAAAACAATCTATCAACTAACAAAGGTCATCAAGAGACCCTTAACTTTGATACCTGTCCCAAAAACCAGGCTGTGTCCAAACAAACCAGGGATCACTTGTGATCCCCTTGACCTCACTATAACCTGCTTGTGGGAGGTTCCACCCAGGCAAGGGCTGAGCTTTTAACCCTTGACTTCACAGTTTCACTCCTTTCTTTATACCCTGAGCTGATGTTTAGTCCTCATTAGTGCTGGAGCTGCAGCACTGCCCTCTGCCAAACCAGAGATCTGCCAGAATGTGGCACCTGATTGTGTCATGCACACCTTACAAGAGACTCCTGCACCAAATTCCATTGGTACCGAGGAGAACTGAACAAAAAACCCACTTGTCTGTCTAATGTTTAATAATGGATTGAAGTACTGAGAGAGAAGAAAGCAAACAGTAAGAAAACCAGATCCAACAACAATGCAAAGAGCAGAGGAAACATGGGACAGGTGGCAAAAGACTGGAAGTTGATGCAAAGAACACAAAAAAATAGGAGATGGGAGTCTGGTGATTGAAAACTGAGCGTTCAGGAAAAAAGAAGGAGGATGTCAGGAACAGCAGAAAGCTCACAGAAAAAAAAAATTAGATGCAAAAACAAAGAATAAAACAGAGTGAAAAACACCAAATGTTTGAGACTGTGTCCAGCTACAACAAATGAGACTGGAAAAAGCATCTAGTAAAGCAAACTATGGCCAGGCATGTTAGTCAAGCTGGAAAAGGGAACACTTGTGCAACGTTTGAGAGTCTCTGTCCACTGAAGGAACAATCCTGCAGCACCCAAGCTCCAGGAATCTCACTCTCACTCCTGCTGACTGTGAGCCCAACCAACAGGATGGCATCCATCAGGAATGGACAGCAGGCACTCACAGCTATCAACTACACCAGAGCTTACTCAGGCACTTATTTCAACTTGTTCCCTATGTCACTGAGTGACATAATTCCTAATTCCAGCTCAAGGTGAGATTGTCTAATCTGACCACCTTCATTAAACACAGCACATTTTTCTGAGCCTTATTTAAGTTTTGGGGAAACATTTTCATTGAAGGCATTAAAAGCCAAGTATTATTGCCCTGAATTATCCATTACCTCACTCGGTAAAATACACTAGTGCCAAATTTTCCATTGAAATGTCCTGCTTCAGCTTTTGGTTCTTGATTCCTAGTTACATTTTTTTAAATGCATTTATGTAGAGCTCTCTAGCACTCAATGTTTTTCCTACAAAAGGACCTATGCATGCTGTGTTCCCCTGTTGACTGAAGAGAGGTTTTATTTTTGTAGATCAGAAATGCAGATGTTCAATAGTTCTTCAGTTTTTCCCCTTAAGTGCCACTCCAAAACACAAAAAGAATTGTTGTTTGTGCTAGCCAACCTCAGGGGCAGACAGTCACATTTTCTTTCAGTGTGCTTCCATTCCATCAAGTTGTCTGAAGGATGAGGTACAGTAAAAACAGATCTGCCAGGTCCACCAACTTAAAATCAAGCATGACAAAGGAAGGAAAAAACCCCAGCCTTCAAACTTCAGGTATAATACATGTAAGAGAACATGAGATCTTCTCCTTCACTCAAGAGATGAACAGTAAGAACACACAGTTCTTAAAAACTGAGGAACAGATTTCGTTTTTCTCCAGACAAGCAGACAGAAACATGGCAAAACAAGGATCTGGAGAAAAAATGTCAATTTTCTAACCAAGTCAGTCTCAGTAAAGGTGCTCTGAGAAAGTCCAAGCACGTAAGAAGGAAAGCAAACCTTCAGTAATTAATGCCAGAGGCAGTACATCTCCAATCCCAATATCTGGAACTCATACAAACCTGAATGGTGGTAGGCTGTCAAATCAGTCTGAAAACCAACTGAATCCACAGAACTCCTTCCTGCTGTTTATTCCCAAGTCACAGATATTTCACCCTGCTTGAGTAACTACAAAAACCTCGAGAGCTGGTTTTCACGGGCTAAATGTCTTTAACATATTTTACTATCAAGTCATTATCAATAAATGCCCTATGTGCTGTCAGAAAAACATGTGTACTGTTAAACCTCCTCAGCTTCCCTCACAAGCCTTTGAAACCAAAAATGCAGAAACAGAAAATACCACCTCAATGGCTCAGGCAGAGATATCATCAACTCATATACACTATTTAATGTGAGATTTTTAACTTAGATACGTGAGCATTAGTAGCTGTAGCAAACTCTCCCATATCAACCCTATTTCCCACAGCTGGACAAACATCCATTCATGTCAACACAAGCACAGCAGCAGGTGCACCTCCAGCAGCCGTGAGATGTTAGACCTCCCCTGCATCATGGAATGACCCACTACTGAAAAAAATCTAAGGGACCAAGGGCAACAAGAAAAGCTTCTGTAGGTACACTGGTGATAAGGGAAAGGCTTAGGAAAATGTGGGCCCTCTCTGGCAGGAAATAGGAGACCTGGTTACTGGGGATATGGAGAAGGCTGAGGGACTCAATGACGTTTTTGACTCTTCACCAACAAGTGCTCCAGATGCACTGCCTGAGTTACAGAAGGCAAAGGCAGGGACTGGCAGAATGAAGGGCCACCTGCTATAGGAGAACAGGTTTGAGACCATCTAAGGAACCTGAAGGTGCACAAGACCATGGAACCTGAGGACATGCATCTGGGGGTCCTGAGGGAACTGGCAGAAGAAGTGGTTAAGCCAATCTTCATTCACCGAGATGTCACGGCCATCTGGTAAAATTCCCACTGACTATAAAAGGGGAAATATAATCTCCCTTTTTGAAAAGGGGAAAAAAGGAAGACCTGGCAAGATCATGGAGCAGATCCTCCTGGAAACTGTGCTAAGGCACATGGAAAATAAGGAGGTGATTGTTGACAGCCAGCATGGCTTCACTTACACCTGACAAATTTGGCGGCCTTCTGTGATTGGGTGATAGTGTTGGTGGATGAGGGAAGATGACTGACATCATCTACCTGGACTTGTGCACAACATTTGACAGGAGATCCTTGTCTCTAAATTGAAGAGACATGAGTTTGGCAGAGGGAACACTCCCTGGATAAGGAATGGGCTGGCTGGCACACTCAGAGTGGGGGTCAACAGCTCAATGCCCAAGTGGAGACCAAGTTTGGGACCAGCACTGTTTAACATCTTTGTCAGTGACATGGACAGTGGGATCGAGGGAAGCCACAAGAAGTTTGCCAATGACATCAAGCTGTGTAGTGCAGTTGATGCACTGGAGGGAAGGGATGGGGCACCCAGAGGGACCAGGACAAGCTGGACAGGTGGGCCCATGCAAACCTTACAAAATTCTACAAGGCCAAGTGCAACTCCTGTGTCTGGGTCAGGGCAATCCCAAGCACAAACACAGGCTGAAGAGGGAATGGATTGAGAGCAGCCCTGAGAAGGACTTGGGCATACTGGTGGATGAGAAGCTCAATATCACCTGGCCACGGGCACTCACAGCCCAGAAAGCTCCCGTGTCCTGGGCTCATCCCCACAGG